CGAGATCCTTTCTTTTCCGCAGCTAATCAACAGACTTGAAAAGCCTTATTGAGCGGTACGAAGTATTAAACTTTCTCGTTGGTGCAACACGTGAGTGCTTAAAATGAATGCAGCCTTTATGTATATTGTTATACATTTGTGTGTGTGTGTGCGTGTGCGTGTGTGCGCGCGCGCGTGTTGTGTGTGCGTGTGTGTGTGAGAAAGATATAATACACAGCCAATATGTTACTTACTGTACATCTTGTATGTTTATTTGCACATAATGAGTCCGTGATCTGGAATATATTAGGTGTAGTAAAAAGAAATCCATTATTTTTCCAATAGATCTCGTCTATGCGTGATACAAATTACTAAAGCCATCTATTGGAAAAATAATGGATTTCTTTTTACTACATCTAATATTAATCAATATTAACGAATCATTATGTGAAATTTAATATTTATTAAATATACGTAAATTTAATACTAAACCAAAATTGTTTATATATGGATTTTCATTTGGATGATATGCTATGATCTTTCCATCATCTAAAAGACTAGAAGTCATAGAATAACCCAGCAGAAGTACCCAGCAAACGAGAATGGATCAAAATGGATTGAAATTTTTTTTTATTCGAATGCGTATTTTAAATAGCAAATACTTTTTTTGGATTTAATTGAATTTAATTGGATTCAATCAGATTCAATTGGATGCAATTGGATTGAAAAACTGCATTTCCTATTTAAAATTTTGAATTGAGCAGCATTCACAATTGTGTTGTGCACAGAAAAAGCTAATATTATTTTTAGATTGAAAGGCATAGAGATATGCTTCATGCAATTCCTATAAATGAAAATGCATTCAAGATTAAAAAACATTTTAACATTCGTGAATATTTCTGAAAATCTGAATCCATTTCAATTCATTTCAATCCATTCTCATTTGCTGGGCAATTAAAGAATCGTGATAAATATTTTAATATTAATTCCAAACATGAAGAAATCTATATTTTAAACTGTTGCAGCAAATTCACTGTAATTAGAGAAAATACAACCATAATTAAGAAATACAAAATAAATTGTTACAAGTGAGGTTGTGACGCTAAATAGTATAAAAATTTTTGAAACGCTCTCCTGTAAAATGATTAAAGTTCTAATTTTTCATATTCTATTTTTCTATATAAATGTTTATGCAAATTTCTGTATACATTTCAAAATTTTTTACGAAGTGGAACAATTTTTCAAAAATGCTGCGAAAGTCTACAGTTTTTCTAAAATTTTTTTATATCGTACATATAAATTCTGAAATATTTTATGATTTCTTATTCTATAATTTCAGAAAAAAATTTATAAAATTCAAATTTATAAAATCTGAAAAAATTTGAGATATATTTTTTTAATCCTTTACAAAAGTAAAATTTAAAAAATTAAAGAATCATGATAAATATTTTAATATTAATTCCAACATGAAGAAATTCTATATTTTAAACTGTTGCAGCAAATTCACTGTAATTAGAGAAAATATAATCATAATTAAGAAATACAAAATAAATTGTTACAAGTGAGGTTGTGACGCTAAATAGTAATAAAAATTTTTGAAACGCTCTCCTGTAAAATAATTAAGATTCTAATTTTTCATATTCTATTTTTCTATATAAATTTTTATGTAAATTTCTGTATACATTTCAAAATTTTTTATGAAGTGGAACAATTTTTCAAAAATGCTGCGAAAGTCTACAGTTTTTCTAAAATTTTTTTATATCGTACATATGAATTCTGAAATATTTTATGATTTCTTATTCTATTATATAATTTCAGAAAAAAATTTATAAAATTTTAAAATTTTAAAAATTTTTTAAATGAGATGAAAATTTTTTTTCACCAGAAAAGAATCAAATTAATTTTTGTTTGTTAAATATTATAAATGAATGCATTGTGATTTGATTGTTCAGTTTTAAAATATCATAATTTATCAAACATCATCATTATCAAAAAAGTTATAAATATTAATTAAAAAAAAACTTTTTCAAATCATAGTTAAAATAATAGAAAAAATTATTTAAGGTCGGTTATTCACTTCCATCTTCGAATAAACTGTGTGACAATTTACCTACTAGATAAATAAAAGAGTAAAAAAGTAAGAGCATAAAAGAGTAAGGGCCGGTTGTCCACTTTTTGGTAAATTTTACCTGTGAGATAAAAAATAACGATTTGAATATATTAACTCATTAACGTGAAAAAGAATATAACAATAGATACACGGCAAAAATTTTCTTTTAAAATTTATCTTAAAAATATAGTAGTGGTGATACAATACAATATTTTAAAGATTTTTACCATGCATTTCGGTAAAATTAATCAAACTGATTTTATACTTTATTGTAGTTTTATTAACGAATAAGAAAGAGATTTATATTAAAATTCTTCTAAATACGATGTTGTCCCACGACTATCATATTTTCAGGGTGAACTCTCAGAAAGTGTTCCGTGTAGTTTTGACCTATCGTATATTTCGCGATTTTTTCTTAATGTTTGGTAGTTTAAAACATCTTATATATACGCATACAATACAGATCTACAGATCTTATTTACACTGATCACTTATATAGAGTATGTTCCAATATTCAATGCCAGTGCTGAAAATCTATAACGCACGTAACGTATACTATATAGTTTCAGCATTGGCAGTGAATGTCGGAACGCACCCAATAATATGCGTACTAATCAGTAACTTTCTATTAAATTATTTTAATTTCGACGATGCATATAGACGTATATACAATATGGTTATTTAATTAATTATAGATACATAATATATATATATATATATATTGTACCAGCTTAGTATACCGTTTTTTTTAAATGTATTGCCGAAATTAAAATAGAAAGTTAGTACATGTATCAATTAAACTCGATGTAAACTAGAACTATAGATATCTGTTTTTAACTGAAAAACTATTTATTTTTAACTTGCAACGCAACATATATTTAGATTGTGTTTCAAATTTACTGCCAGTGCTAAAAATCTATAGTTTATGTTACATACACTATGTATAGATTTTCAGCATTGTCAGTCAATTTTGGCATACTTTTGTGCAACCATAATATGTATAAAATATAATACGTATAAAAATATAATACGGAAACATATACAGCACAAGGAAAGATGATGCCTTTGAAGACTCTTGCTGTTTGTAATAGAAGTAGCGTATGTAAGTATGTACATACGTCGTCATCACGCAGCGTCCCGCTAAGCGTGCGCCGATACCATTGCGCAAACGAACAAGGAACGCGAGCGAATCGTGCTCAGCGCCGGTGAGAAAATACAACCATAATTAAGAAATACAAAATAAATTGTTACAAGTGAGGTTGTGACGCTAAATAGTATAAAAATTTTTGAAACGCTCTCCTGTAAAATAATTAAGATTCTAATTTTTCATATTCTATTTTTCTATATAAATTTTTATGTAAATTTCTGTATACATTTCAAAATTTTTTATGAAGTGGAACAATTTTTCAAAAATGCTGCGAAAGTCTACAGTTTTTCTAAAATTTTTTTATATCGTACATATGAATTCTGAAATATTTTATGATTTCTTATTCTATTATATAATTTCAGAAAAAAATTTATAAAATTTTAAAATTTTAAAAATTTTTTAAATGAGATGAAAATTTTTTTTCACCAGAAAAGAATCAAATTAATTTTTGTTTGTTAAATATTATAAATGAATGCATTGTGATTTGATTGTTCAGTTTTAAAATATCATAATTTATCAAACATCATCATTATCAAAAAAGTTATAAATATTAATTAAAAAAAAACTTTTTCAAATCATAGTTAAAATAATAGAAAAAATTATTTAAGGTCGGTTATTCACTTCCATCTTCGAATAAACTGTGTGACAATTTACCTACTAGATAAATAAAAGAGTAAAAAAGTAAGAGCATAAAAGAGTAAGGGCCGGTTGTCCACTTTTTGGTAAATTTTACCTGTGAGATAAAAAATAACGATTTGAATATATTAACTCATTAACGTGAAAAAGAATATAACAATAGATACACGGCAAAAATTTTCTTTTAAAATTTATCTTAAAAATATAGTAGTGGTGATACAATACAATATTTTAAAGATTTTTACCATGCATTTCGGTAAAATTAATCAAACTGATTTTATACTTTATTGTAGTTTTATTAACGAATAAGAAAGAGATTTATATTAAAATTCTTCTAAATACGATGTTGTCCCACGACTATCATATTTTCAGGGTGAACTCTCAGAAAGTGTTCCGTGTAGTTTTGACCTATCGTATATTTCGCGATTTTTTCTTAATGTTTGGTAGTTTAAAACATCTTATATATACGCATACAATACAGATCTACAGATCTTATTTACACTGATCACTTATATAGAGTATGTTCCAATATTCAATGCCAGTGCTGAAAATCTATAACGCACGTAACGTATACTATATAGTTTCAGCATTGGCAGTGAATGTCGGAACGCACCCAATAATATGCGTACTAATCAGTAACTTTCTATTAAATTATTTTAATTTCGACGATGCATATAGACGTATATACAATATGGTTATTTAATTAATTATAGATACATAATATATATATATATATATATTGTACCAGCTTAGTATACCGTTTTTTTTAAATGTATTGCCGAAATTAAAATAGAAAGTTAGTACATGTATCAATTAAACTCGATGTAAACTAGAACTATAGATATCTGTTTTTAACTGAAAAACTATTTATTTTTAACTTGCAACGCAACATATATTTAGATTGTGTTTCAAATTTACTGCCAGTGCTAAAAATCTATAGTTTATGTTACATACACTATGTATAGATTTTCAGCATTGTCAGTCAATTTTGGCATACTTTTGTGCAACCATAATATGTATAAAATATAATACGTATAAAAATATAATACGGAAACATATACAGCACAAGGAAAGATGATGCCTTTGAAGACTCTTGCTGTTTGTAATAGAAGTAGCGTATGTAAGTATGTACATACGTCGTCATCACGCAGCGTCCCGCTAAGCGTGCGCCGATACCATTGCGCAAACGAACAAGGAACGCGAGCGAATCGTGCTCAGCGCCGGTGACAAATCGGTGAGGTATCGGCGCTACGGTGGCGACTGCACTAGGCGACTGTGGTAAGGAGTGCGAGAACTGGCGAAGAGGCGCGGAGACGAGGCGAGACGAGGCGAGAACAGCCGAAATGGAGGAGAGTCAAACATCGGAAAGTGTCGCCGTGCTACCGGACATGTCCGAACCGTTGACGAGCGAGACCGAGGAGGCGGCTACGCTGACGAGTGAGCACGAGGCACATCCTGTCGCGGTCACGGCGAGTGTCACTACGGTATCAGGTGTTCCGGGCGTACCCGGGGTCGGCGTACCAGTCTCTCTTCCTGTGGGCTCCATCATCGGCGTAGCGAACTCGACCAATGGCACGACTTTCAACGTCATCACCTCGGATCAACTGCAGGTATGTCCATAGGGCTCGAACGCAAATACTTCTTGAGAATACTCGCGCGATTTTAAGACCGATATTCTTATTTTAAAACTATTTTAAATATCTTAATGCGACGCATCTCTGATTGATTCATAATATTTTAAGACTACTCGAGACATTCTTAAATATTATAAGAATCTCTCTCTTACGCGCGCGCGCGCGATTAAGTCCGATCTACATAGCACGCAAAACGAAGGTCGCAAAACTAGACACTAACCTAACAAACGTATTTTAATTATAATAGGTTGCAGGGGCGCAGGAGAGAACTTAGGTGTCTCTTTCAAATTATATTAACGCGTCTTTGTATCCTGCGGTCTGCAATCTATTATAATCTAAAAAACATATTCACCCTGCGACCTGTGTTGTGCATACTGGCTTTAAAAGTGCGTTCCATTTAACATTTGCAATACTTGCGAGTATCATTTTACTCTTGTCATCAAATATTAAACAAAGATGAAATAATACACGCGGGATTACGAATCGCATTAAGTAGCACCTTATGAATATCGACGCGACTAAGACGCGAGGAATTTAATCGGTGGACGTGACTTTTTGCCCTCCTACTGCTAAGGCCAGAATTCATAGTTGTTTCTTAAATGTCAAGTCTCATTCCAATCTCAAAACTCAGATTTCAAATCTCGAATCTGTAACCTAAATTTCAGTGGCTAATTATCAAATTCAGTTCTTCATGACTATTTGTGACTGAGAAATATGAAAATCATGGTGAGAATGAAATAAAGCGTGATGAAATAGTATAATAGGTTGAAAATCAATTTAGAGATTTTTAAGAAAGTGTGAGGTAAAGAATGCAAATATTTATAATATGTTTATAATATTTAAGGTTAAGTAGATATTTTAGAGTTACAAATAATGAATTTTATAGAAAATTTCAATTTTGATTGAATACATCGTGAATAGGAATCTATTTAATGTTACATTAAATAAAGATAGATTAAAATTTTTATGTATTATATAATTTGAAAATTATTATCTTTTTCAGATATAGCCATTTAGACATAGTATGTTCTCATCAAATGTGGCCTATGTTTCAAGACTTGCTCGCAGTATTCTCTACTTTAAATTACATTCATGTTGGCGATTAACCACTTTATTAGTGCAAGCTGACTTGACTTAAGCAATTAGACTTGACAAGCAGTTTTGACTTAATTTTCCATCAACGATACGTTTGAAATGAATGTCAGAAGTATTCAATTTTTATATCTTCAAGAACTGCTGATATCTTGTTAAATATATTAGGTGTTGGAATTAATTCGTAGCGTTTTACAAGTGATGGGAAGTACTTTCATTAATGTATTTTTTAATGCTCATGTGAAATAAATAACATTATTTCATTAAAAACGCTACGAATTAATTCCAACACCTAATAGATTTCAGGTAACAGTTGAATTTCTTCTGTGCGCGCGCGCGCGTGTAGTGTGTGTGTGTGTGTGTGTGTGTGTGTGTGTGTGTGTGTGTGTGTGTGTGTGTGTGTGTGTGTGTGTGGGTGTGTCTTTAACAAGCTGAGGCTTTTATAAGCAATTTTATTTATTGAATACAAATGGATAAAATTGCGAAAATTGGTAAGATTGTGAGAACTGTAAATTATTAATATGCGTCGCTGAAATGCATGTTAATAATTTACAGTTTCTGAAATCTTATTTACACTTATTACTTCTATGACCTTGCGTTTCGGCTCTGAAACTGAAGTTGGATAAGTCTGCTTTAAAGGATGCCTATTGAACATCAAATTATTAAATTAGTTGTAGTAGTTCAGTTGCATTTCTAAGCCCGAAAAATCAATTCGGCATGCAATTTAAATGACTACATACATAGTATATAAATTCAAATAGAATTATTTAAGCACTTAAGATACAGCTGCAATCATTATAGACATTATTGCTCACTTTGTATATTCAATAAATAAAATTGCCTATAAGACACACACATACGTACACACACACGCGCACACACACACACACACACACACACACAGAGAGAGAGAGAGAGAGAGAGAGAGGAAGAAATTCAACTGTTATCTGAAATCCATATTCAACAAGTATGATATCAGCAGGGATCAGTGTTCTTGAAGGCGTAAGACTTAAATACTTCTGACATATTCATCCGAATATCGTTGATGGAAAGTCAAAACTATCAACTTTCACTAATAAAATGGTTAATCACAAGCCTACGTGAACGTAATTTAAAAGTAGAGAATACTGCGAGCAAGTCTTGAAACTAGGCCACATTTGCATCAAAATGTACTGAATAGCTATATCTGAAAAAGATAATAATTTTCAAATTACATAACACATAAAAATTTTAATCTATCTTCATTTAATGCAATGTTAAATAGATTCCTATTCATCATGTATTTAATTGAAATTAAAATTGAAATTTTTTATAAAATTCATTGTTTGTACCTCTAAAATATCATTACTTAATCTTATTATAAATATTTTCTTTACCTCAATATTTTCTCTTCCTTAAAAATCTTTAAATGGATTTTCGACCCATTATATTATGTAACCTCACCATGGTTTATCTCATTCTTCGCACTTCTTGCTTAATCACAAACAGTCATGAAGAACTGAATTTGATGATTAGCCATTAATACTGGAATTTATTTAGGTTGCAGATTCCAGATTTGAAATCTGAGTTTTGAGATTGGAACGAGACTTGAGATAGAGAGAAACCTGAGAGAGGATATGACGGCCCAAAACCTATAACGGCAAAATGCTGTCGCGCACTACTGCCCTCTGACAAAGTGAATGTAAATTACGTAGCAACGTCCACTTTTCTTAGGGTACATCGTCCAGTTTTTAAGGCTGGAGATAAATCAATATTTGATTCATATAATCGTGCTACATGTAGTCTTGAAAAGTGAACGATGTATACTAAAAGTGGACGTTGCTATGTAGTTTATATCCACTTTGTCAGAGGGCAGTAGTGCGCGGCAGCATTTTACGGTTACAAGTTTTGGGCCATCTCTCTTTTTTGTCCTCTCTCAGGTTTCTCTCTGCTTGAAATTCGACTATGAATTTAGTCCTTAAATATACTGTGCTTGATGACGATGACGAACGATATAAGGAAGCAGTAGAAGTATATTTATTTGGTGTACTGTTTGGACCAGATCGTCCGCGTCCTGTTGACAAAACTTTCCTTGGTATTAGGTGTTGGAATTAATTCGTAGCGTTTTACAAGTGATGGGAAGTACTTTCATTAATGTATTTTTTAATGCTCATGTGAAATAAATAACATTCTTTCATTAAAAAACGCTACGAATTAATTCCAACACCTAATAAAAAAAAATTGATAGGATTTCTATTAATTTCTATCATTTATATTATTTTCTATCATCGATCTCATGAACATCATAATTGATCGGATATGAATCCTATTGTATTTTATCAGGTTCTATGAGATTTATATTTAGTTCTATAAAATTCGTGTAAAATTTGATCAAATTAGTGAATTCACTAATCAGATTCTATATTCTTTCTTTTTTAAAACCCCTAATCTCTTTTAAGTCTTGATTTAGGGCCTAAGCACAAAGATAATCGTAACTGAATCATAGAACGTAAGTTGTAACTGTAGATTGGCCATACATTTTGCGTTGATCTACGACTACGACTCACGTTTCATGACTTAGTTACGACCATTTTTATGCTGAAGCCCTTAACCAGCTTTAATACATGTAAACATAAGTAGACGGCCTGAAGCTGTAAAGTATAAAGAAATACTGATAGATGACACGTGAGATTAAATGCGACTTACATTAGGCCCAAAAATAGGTCTTGATAGGGTAGACGCTCTGTTCGAAATCTCCTTTAAGTTAGGGTATAAATCAAGGTAAAAATCAGGTTGTTGGGTGTAAAATGACCGTTATTTTTTATTTAAAGGTAATGATAACGTCATTACATTTTTACAATACATAAAACACACACACACAAGAATACGATATAGTTATAGAATGTCCTACTTTAATTTATACAGCTGGTTTTCTCAAAATTCTTAAGTTTAAGAAATGTTTCAGATAAAAGTTTTATGGTTTCATAAGGGAAAAAAGTTGGTGACTTTAGTTAATTTTGAAAAGATGTCCTTAAGGCGATGCTAAAGCTGATAATAGTGACATCTTTGATTCATTTCTTATATTATATTATATATTATTCTGTCTTACTCAAACGCATATATATGTCCTTATTTAACATATGCCAGCACCATATATCACAAGCCGCGCAATTACTACACGAAATTTCGACTTCCAGTCTTCCCTATATACGTATTTTCCACTCGGTGGAAATACTTTTCTTCTAGACTTTCAATCTTAGTTTTACAAACTCGGTATCGTTCCAGTAATGTAACTTTAACTGCACGCTTATTTTTAAGATATGGACTCTAAAACTTTTATATTAAGCAAATATATATTTGAGGTGACAGCTGTACAGCTGGTCATAGAAAGGTTGCAATACTTTTTCTTTGATGGGTTTCGGAACGCAGCTTGCTCTCTGATTGATTCTTAGTCATGGATCTATAAATGAAAACTAATCGCTCGGTGAGTAAGCTGCATTCCGAAACCCATAAAAAAAAGTGTTGCAACCTTTCTGTGACTGGCTACACGAGTCAAAAGTAAATTTTTTAACTTTTTTTTTGGATTTTCTCATGAAATTCAGTGCAGCTGAAGTCTTGTTTGTGCGTATTTTAATTTTTGTAATAACATTTTTGCAATCCGTAAATCCAATTCGGAGATTTTTCACTAAGTGGAAATGTCGGCTTTAGCATCGTCTCAAGATTATTTAAAATGTTTTACTACTGTAGCTGATTTCAAGACTTTCGAAACACTATGAGTACTTTTCAATAAAAGACACAGATGACATAGTATAATACAGTGAATCCTTACATCCTTATTATTTTTAGATTAAATCAAGACAATGATCACTGTGTCACACTGTATCATTTGCTGAAAAGCAGCATAA